TAGACAGATAGATCGATATATAGACAGATAGCAAACCTTTATATATCAACTAATAGGTCAATTATGCTGTATGTACATGTATCAACACGAATACAACTTAACCAGCGTATGGCTGTGTGCTCCTACTCCTAACAACAAAATAACTGCACGGACCATTGGGGTGTTTTCACACACCACAATGAATTTAGTTCTTCAAGACCAACTTGCATTTGCTCCTCAAACTCGTCTACAGTCTCATTGAAAAACTCGTCGTCGTCGTCAAAGTCGAGTAGTTCGTTGATCTGATCTGTTACCAACAGCGGCCGAGACTCGATAGCCGAGAAATTGGACATGTTTTACCTGAAAAAGCAGTAGCCACAAGAAAACAGTGTCTATGTACCGCTACGTTTTCAGTATGCAATACTAACCGCACTTCTATTAAGAGCTGCGACAAATAGAATCAAAGATAACTGTCTATGCCCACGCCTACCAACTTTTACCCTGAAATCTTCGATCGTAGTACAGACAGATTCTCTTTGTAACCAGCAATATCGGGTTTAAGATATGTCTGCTGTTTAGCAAGCGCTTTATCGACACTCTAGTGCCAAACGTATCGAACCTACTTTTAGGTTTTTTAAGCTTAATGATACTATTTATCTAGTCTTCTAGCGATATTTATTATAAAATACAAATTTCCATGTTTATACAATTTAAATACGTATGTATTCATTCTAAATTTTTTTTTGCGATAAAAGGTATTTTGGACAAATGTACGTTTACGCTCAACGTTTATAATGTTGTCCCCGGATGCATTTTCGAAGACCTGCTGAAGATGAGGACATGAGAGGTTCGAAGTTTTTTTAGCCAAAAATTGTTAACATATATGGTAGGTCGATTGTTTTCATTATTGTAACCCGTATGAACGGTTTATTGATTTTGATTCCAAAAAAAATACATAGCTACTCAAGTTCCATTGTAAATATGTACCGAACGTTTAGATTTTAATCGATAAGAACCATATTTTTTTTTCTCTATGGAGAGGGTCATGGAATAGAGCACATCTAAATATTATATAGTGCAGGACTGTAGCTTGTGGTTCCTATTAGCTGAAACATTATCAGTACTTGTTCGGGCTATGTATGTGCCCTGCGTTTCAATTCCTCTCACGGGCAACTACAACAGTCGCACTAGCCTGGCGGCATTGTGTATACTTGAATTTCAGAAAGTGGTGTCGTCAAATTCTCAATATGAAACGGCTTCTGTGCGATGACATCAAGATTAATAGTTTGTACCTGACCAATAGCCTATAGGCCGCCATCTACACTCGATTGTAATTTTACAAGGACTCAAATTCTACCCCACCGTCATGTGTGCGGTGTCAATTGATGTCCCACCAGAAGGAATCCGAGAATACACATCCGATAAGCACACGGCGTTTTACATACACATCCACAAACACCCACAAACACCCACCCACGCTCACATACACACAAGCACACCCATATTCACCCATATCCACCCACACATACCTGCACACATATACGCGTATACACACACATTCACACACACACCCACATACACACACACACACACATTCACACACATACCACACAGACACAGACACAGACACAGACAGGCACACACACACAAATACACACACACTTACACACACACACGCAGGTACACA